TTATTAATTAAAATTAATTACTTTTATTTTATTTTAAATGATTTATTTGATTAATTTGAATTAATTACGTTTATTTTAATTTTTAATTGATTTATTTTATTGAGTTCTTAGATTAATTGTTTTATTTTAATTATATTTCGTGATTATATATGGTGATAGTTTGTGTATGTGCTTGATTATTAATTAAATTATTGATGTATTGATTTTATTGGTATGTTGCGACTTGGTTATAATTTCTTATTTTGTTTATGTGCTTCATGTAATTAAATTATTTTAATTTACGTGTTTATTTAATTATTTGATTTATTTAAATTAATTGGATTTGGTCTTGGGCTTGAAGGAGGCCTTATTGGGTTAATTAATAAAGGCCCATGGTTATTTAATTATTTAAATGATCATTTTTGGTATTAATTATAAATATATAAAATTATATATAAATATAATTAATTAATAATTGTTAGGGAAAGATATATATAGAGATATATATCTATGGATATATATAGGTTTATATAATCTAATTAACTAACGGTTAATTATGGAAGATAAATATATATATGTGTGTAATATAATATATGTATATATATATATTATATTAATTAAAGATTATTATCTTATTAGTAGTCCTAGTTGGAATAGGAGTTAGGTTTTAATGTGTATAATAGGTTTTAATGTGTATAAATATACACATAAGGTTTAAGGTTAAAAAGTTTATACGTTAGGAAAATAAGAGAGGTAGAGAGAGAGAGTAAGAGAAGGCCGACAAAGAGGAGGCCGGATCAAAGAAAGAGGATGTTGGAATTAGAATAAACAATTAAAGTTTAAAGCGTCGGTTTCGTTTCGAAACCTTCAGGCGAGTTCTTCTCTAACTTTCCTCTTAGAACTCATAAGGATTTCACCTTGAGTATCAAAATTTAAGATTAAATTTATTGATTAAATAATGGTTAAAACGGAATATTTAAAATATGAATTATTATAATTTATTTTTGCAATTTTTGATTTTTTATTGTTGTATATATATATAATACTGTCTGTTTATATTTATATAAGTGGCGTCTGTGTACTATCGGCCTAACAAGAATAGGATTTTAATCCAGTGTTAGACGGTCCATATTATCATGGTGCACACACTAATCTAGCCCATTGGAGTATTTAAATATATGTGGATTGATTGGGTGTGGTGCGAGTTCATGGAGATTCAGTGTACCACAAGTCTGAGCCATAGATGTGGATTGATTGAATAGAGAACGGATTTAGTGCAGCGCAAGGGCATGGAGAACCATGTAGCTGCGAGAAAAGATCTGGTGTGGCGCGCACCTTCAGAATTGATGCAGCGTTGAATCAGAGTGCGCCACGTGTCAGAATCTTAGTCTTTAATCCAGTGCGGACGTGCTCACAGTATCGATTGAGCTCAGCCTATTATTTTGCTTGTTTTGTTACTCGAAATTGAAACGGTCATAACTTAGTCTTCTTAAATCCAAATTAGGTCATTCTTGAGCTCAAATTTAACGATTTTTCGTCTTCTTTCCAATGGTACTAATTTCGTTATCGGATTCCCATCATACTAAGATATATTTATGTTTTAGTGAAACGATGTCGAAAAATTATTTACCGAGATGGAGTATTTATGGGAAACTATTTCTGACGAGATTTAGTAACATTTAAATTAAGTAAATATAATTAAATTAATATATTGTTATGGAAGGAAGTATATATATATATATAATATTATTTATATAAATGTATATATGGTTTAATTGTTTAGGATAAGGATGGAGGGATGTGTGTGTATATATATATATATTGATATATATGTATATATATATATATGATTTAAATAATCAAATATTATTATGGATGGTATTATACATATTTACATATTATATAATATATGTGCGTGTGTATATATATATATATCATTTAAGATGATTAATATAAATTATTCTTATTTGGTATATCTGGATAGGCTGGTTATTAAAGTAATGTTATACTTATGAAATGCATGAGATGTCTATGTGTGATTTAGTTCATCGTTAAGTTTAAAGTTGTTACATGGTTGAATTGTAGGCATGGATGAATTGTCAGAGGCTTAAATATATGGCCAAAATATATGTATGAATAAAACACATATATTAGAAGCATGGATGAGTTGCTAATTAAAAGTATAAATATATATACATAAGGAGGCATGGTTGAGTTGCCAATATATAAATAAATATATTTATAATGGCATGGTTGATTTGTCAAAATGTAATTATATTGCTGTGTGTTAGATGATTAAAATATCATCTATAGTTATTGTATGTATAGGTTGGATTATGATTAGATATTCTTAAATTAGAATAGTCTAGTACTTACAGGTTAGTGTATTATTTTATGCATATTAATAAAATAATACTGGTGGAGACATGGATGATTTGTCAAAGCTTAGATTTTGGATATGTGATTTAAATAATTAAAATCATTATCGGGTTTGGGATTAAATATTATATTCTTTTTATTATAATTTATTATTTAAATGATTAAACAACTGACTAGGATGAGATTAAGGTTAAAGGAGTTTCTTTTTAAAATAAATGGTAGATTGGTCTAGGAATGATTTATTTTAATAATTATTTAATAGGTATGGAAATTTAATAAACCTATTAATGAATTTGATTAGTATAGTATATATAAATATATATAGACATGTATATCGTGCTTTATTAAAGTTAAAACTTTATTAGGTTTGGTTTTGATCAGAGATGATCTACTTATTGGTTTTCAGAGGCCTGGTAGAGTGAACTTACTCGTAGGGTTTAACCCACGATTTATTTTTCAGGTTATTAGAGGTTCTAGTCTCGAGGTTGAGGATCCGCAGCTAGGAGACTGTCATTCATCTATTCATCTTGTGTACTTTTAAATAGTATTGGATTATTGGATATTGTTTTAAGGGGTCCTTGAGTTACGGGATTCCCGAGCTGTAACCATTGGAGAATTATTAATGGATTTATTATTTAATAGATTTTCCTTCAGCGAGTTATTTATTCTTTTTATTTTCTTTTTGTACTCCGTGCTTATCAAATACTAAAATTGTTTTGATATTCCCTGATTTTGTTCGCAGACTTGATCAATCCGTGTTTCGTAAATCAGGGGGTATCACAAGGTGCAAGGGTATATGCAGTTGTTCCAGATGGGAGACATGACCATGCACCACCAGCAGTGGAAGGTACATTTACTATTTATGGCAGTATAGCTAGAATACTATTTGATTCAAGTTCTTCATATTCATTTATTGCACTATCATTTGTGGACACACTGGGATTAGAACCTGGACATATGAGTAATGCCCTATCTATCACAACTCCACTCGGGAGCGCGACGACACTTGATAGAATATGTTATGCTTGTCCTGTTACAATTGGGGAGTTGGAGTATTCTATTGATTTGATAGTATTACGGATGAGAGACTTTGATGCTATATTGGGTATGGATTGGTTGGCTAGATATCATGCTTAGTTGGACTGCCATGAGAGGATTATTGTATTCTTAGTTCCGGGACAGTTTCCTTCTCGATATAAGTGTGGAGAGTTAGAGGGCACCATGACTATGGGATTTCTCGCACACATTGAAGTGGTTGAGCAATGCGTGACTATAGAGCAGTTACCTACAGTGTTAGAGTATGTAGATGTGTTCCAAGATATTTCGGGTTTGCCTCCTAGGAGGGCAGTGGATTTCTGCATCGACCTCACTCCTGGTATTTTACCTATCTCTAGGGCACCTTACAGAATGGCACCAGTTGAATTGAGTGAGTTGAAGAAGCAGACTCAAGAGTTGCAAGATCGGGGGTTTATTTGACCTAGCACATCACCTTGGGGAGCACCTGTTCTATTTGTTAAGAAGAAGGATGGGTCACTCCGCTTATCTGTTGACTATCGTGCGCTGAATAAGTTTACTATTAAGAACAAGTACCCATTACCACGCATTGATGATCTGTTTGATCAACTCAAAGGGGCGCAGTTGTTCTCTAAGATTGACTTGAGGACTGGTTACCATCAGTTGAGGATTAGGGAGAAAGATATTCCTAAACTGCCTTTAGGACTCGTTATGGCCTCTATGAGTTTTTAATCATGCCTTTTGGGTTGACTAACGCTCCGGCAGCTTTTATGGATTTGGTGAACCGAGTGTTTCGACCTTACTTGGATCAGTTTGTTGTGGTATTTGTTGATGACATTCTGATATATTCCAAGACTAAGGAGGAGCATGAGAGACACTTGAGCATTACACTTCAGACTTTGCGTGAGCATCAGCTCTATGCTAAGTTTGAGAAGTGTGACTTTTGGCAGGAGCAGATTCAGTTTTTGGGGCATGTGATCTCTAAGGATGGAGTTTCAGTAGATTTTGCCAAGGTGAATGCTGTAATGAGTTGGAAACAGCCTACTACTGTCACTGAGATTCGTAGTTTCTTGGGAATGGCGGGATACTAGAGGCGCTTCATTGAGGGTTTCTCCAAGATTGCTACACCTTTGACCCCGTTTGACTCGGAAGGATGTGAAGTTTGTTTGGGACCACCGCTATAAGCAGGCATTTGAGGAGCTGAAGACGAGATTGACTTCGGCACCAGTTCTTACCATTCCTATTAGTGGTGAGAGATTTGTGATCTACACAGATGCATCACATCAGGGTCTTGGCTGTGTTTTGATGCAAGATGATAAGGTGGTAGCGAATGCCTCTATGCAGCTTAAGCCACATGAGCAGAATTACCCTACACATGACTTGGAGTTGGCAGCAATGGTTCTTGCATTGAAGGTGTGGAGGCATGATTGGTATGGCGAGGAATTTGGGTTATTCTCTGATCACAAGAGCCTCAAATACCTCTATACTCAGAAGAAGTTGAATATGAGGCAACAGAGGTGGATAGAGAAGATGAAGGATTTTGATATGACCCTTCAGTATCACCTAGAAAGGCGAATGTGGTAGCAGATGCCTTGAGTCGGAAACCGAGAGGATTAGTTGCCTTTATGATGATTCAGGAGTGGATGATGTTAGAGGCATTGGCAGAGTTTTCTATCATGCCGAGTTCTCAGAGTACAGGGGCTCTTCTTTGTAGTTTGACTGTACAACCGACTTTGATCAACCGGATCATTTATGCTCAGAACAAAGATGACAGGTTACAGGCTAAAGCAGTTAAGGCTGCCAATGATGAGAGTGATGTGGACTGGACGTGTGGAGTTAATGGTGGTATGAGATTTTGAGGTAGGCTATGTGTACCAAACTTAGCAGACCTCAAGAGAAAGATTCTAGATGAGGCACACCACTCTAGGTACACAGTGCACCCAGGTGACACTAAGATGTATCATGATCTTAAGAGGCAGTTCTGGTGGGAAGGCATGAAACGTGATGTGGCAGAGTTTGTATCTAGATGTCTCACTTGTCAGCGAGTAAAAGCTGAGCACCAGAGACCAGCAGGACTATTACAGCCTTTGCCTGTGCCTGAGTGGAAATAAGAGCATGTGACGATGGATTTTGTTGTGGGGTTACAGAGGTCGACACATAACCATGATACAGTATGGGTGATAGTGGACCGATTGACTAAGTCAGCTCATTTTCTACCTATCTGAGCTACTGATACTGTAAAGGAATTGTGTAAGATTTACATCAGAGACATAGTTAAGCTCCATGGAGTGCCAGTGTCTATTGTTTCAGATCGTGATCCTCATTTTTCATCTCGGTTTTGGAGTAGTTTTCATGCAGCCTTTGGCACTCCTTTGAGTTTGAGCACTGCTTTTCATCCTCAGACTGATGGCCAGTCCGAGAGGGTCATTCAGGTGTTGGAGGATATGCTTCGTGCTTGATTTTCGGGGCAGTTGGGAGGATCATATTCCACTGGTTGAGTTCGCTTATAATAATAGCTATCAGGCTAGTATCGGCATGGCACCGTATGAGGCACTTTTTGGTAGACCTTGTCGTTCACCTGTATGTTGCGTTGAGGTTGGTGATGGTAGTTTTTTGGGGCCAGAGTTGGTACAAGAGACTACGGAGAAGGTTGTTATCATTCGAGATCGACTTCGCATAGCTCAGAGTCGACAGAAGAGCTATGCAGATCGACGCTGTCGTGCTTTGGAGTTTAGTTTGGGTGACTTGGTATTTTTGAAAGTATCACCAATGAAAGGGGTTGCGAGATTTGGTAGGAAGAAAAGGAAGCTAGCTCCTCGATTTATTGGACCTTTTGAGATTACAGAAAGGATTGGGAAAGTGGCATATGGATTGGCTTTACCACCCAGACTGTCTGCTATTCATGATGTTTTCCATGTCTCTATGTTGAGGAGGTGCTTGAGGGATGAAACTCAGGCAGTTGACTGCACAGAAGTTCAGTTGCGTCCTAATGTAACATATGTTGAGACTCCTGTTCGCATCGTTGACAGTATAGTGAAACAGTTGAGGCGGGCAGAGATACCTCTAGTGAAGGTGCAGTGGAATCATCAGGACGAGAGAGAGGCTACCTGGGAGCTAGAGTGAGAAATAAAGGAAAAATATCCACATCTATTCGAATAAGGTACACAAATTTCGAGGACGAAATTTCTTTCTAGGAGGATAGAATGTAATATCTTTAAAAATAATAATAATAATAAAAATATATATATATATAAAAAATAAGATATGTACGTATGTTTTTTTTTTTTTTCGGGAACGGATTATGGTTGTGTTAACCTATTATTTTTAAATTTTAAAAAGAGTTTTATTTGACTTAAAACTCGAAAGATGATTTCTATATTAGAGTTTGTATTGTTTTAGGTGAGGAAAAATGAAAAGAAAACACCGTCTTTCTCAAAATGTACCTTAAACTCTTATCACGTTAATTCCTGGGTACCGATAACTAAAGCATAGTTAACCTTCTGCAGTGGCCGGAAGGAGAGGTGATTAAAAGTCATATACGTGAAGAAGGAGTAACGTTATCTTTTTGAGGCAAGTTAATCTTGCCTTATAATTTTATATATACGACTAACTTGCTTATTAAAGTTTTAATATTAAATTTTGAATTCTGTGTTTTATAGTATATAGATCATCTTGTTAATATTAGGTACTTGTTGAAGATAGTTGTACATTATTTGTTTATATATAATGATATTATATTTACATACACACTTATAATTGTTAATTGAGCAATTCAAAGGATCTGTGTTAAATAGTATCATTTGGGTAAGAATTGTATGCTATCCTAATTTAAGTCTTTATTCTGTAAATTGTGTGAATAGTCATTAATGAGTAGATCTATATATATATATATATATATATATATATATCTTCATACATATATATAATACATTGTTATATATATATATATTTTTTAGAAACTTAACTGGCATATAAATTTAGTTACATATATATTGATGTATGAATTCCTAATGTAGACTCGTTCATTATTTAGTCTTTTGTATAAATTTCTAATGTGGAATTATGAATTTTTGATGTTGAGTATCAATTAAGTATAGATTAAATATTTAATTGAATTATCTATATAAATGCAATAAATTGGATATTTACTTACATGATATTACTTATTAAGTCTGTTTATAAGCATGGAAATTATAGTGTTGGGTCTCTGGGCATTCTGTATACGGGTGTATATCTGTAAGTATATATAGTTGATTATCAGTGTTGGACTTTAAGACATCTAAAGTATATAAAGTTGGCTTCATGGTTATCAGTTAAACAATATATCTATATTAAGGAAAAGACACTGGGCTGGGCTTTGATTACATGTGACTATAAAAATTATATTTAATTATTTAACTTTCTCTAGCATTGAAATGACACTACTGTTGGCTGGAAAACGTGACTAAGGTGATGTGGGTTAGTGACCATTAAACCACATGAATAATGTTTTATATATACATATATAAATACTATTTGACTAGCATCAGTAGGTTGTATAGGACATATGAACTGTGATTGATGATAATTTTAAGTTACCCGATCACATGATAGTTCAGTGGGTAATTTCCTAAAAGTTTAATTGTAATTCTCATAATTGGGTAATTAAAGGTGCATTTTTATGCATTAATTATTATTAATTAATAATATTTTTTTTTTTTATAATTCACCATAATTAATAATTAATGGATGAGTTGGTTAGTCGGAGGGGTAGTCAGGGACTAACCCTATGATGACTTTTGGGTATGGTCAGGGACTTACCGATTTGGGAGTGCACTACCCTTTATTATGGCCATGGATCTAATGAGCCCTTATTGTGTGGACGTGATCAGGGATCATCTGGGGAGTAGACGTACAATCCAGCCACACATGTGTTTTCGGTAGTCAGGGACTATACGATTCACACCACTTTATTGGACGAGAGCCCGGGGCTCATATAAGTTATGTAGATTTAATAAAAGTAAATAATGTTGTTGAGTTTATAATTAATTGGAGATTATAAAATTCTTTAGTAATACACTTAACTGAGTTGATTTTATATATGGGAATATAACGTATGGTTAACTTGCTGAACGATGATTGTGTTTAACATTTCTTGCTGAGCTTGTGAGCTCACCCCATTATCACATTTCAGGTGCTCGTAGAGTAAGAACGTGATGGTGACACGCGACGGGGACGGATTATAGCTCGTTGCACATTGATTTATTTTAGCTTGGTTTTCCTTTATTATGATTATTGTAATAAAGTTAATGTTTTATGAAACTTTACCGAGTTGATTCAGTGGTCATAGATGTTCTGTTATATTAGAGGGAATTTCACCTCTATTTATGGATTTGTATAAGATTTGTCAGACTCTTATGGTTATTAAATTGAATGATGGTATTCATCGTAGTTCTTTTATGAAGGACAAGTAGTTCTTATGTTAAAATTTGGGGTGTGACAGTTTGGTATCAGAGCCTAGGTTAAGAATTACCTGGTTAAGAGAAGTGATAGCAAGAATAGGAGCATATACTTATACGAATTATTGCTCTCTTACCATGCTCCAGTTAAAGTATAAATTACATGTTAGACTTATCATTGACATTCTTTACTGAAAATAGGATGTCAGGAGCTGGAAGAGGCAGAGGATGACCTGCTAGAGGCAGAGGTCAGGGAGGTGCTGGTTGTGGTGGTGTTAACCATGACGATGTTCAGTTGGAGGATGCATCTCATGCTTCGAATCCTATGGTTGGATTTATCAGAGATATCCGCAAATTAGGGGCTGTTGATTTCGTCAGATCTACCGATCCACTTGATGCCGAGAAGTGGATTGAAGACTTAGAAAGATATTTTGAGATGATGGACTGCACTGAGGTGCAGAAAAGGAAGATTGGTGCATTTCTTTTATTTGGTGAGGCGTGCCAGTGATGGCAGTCGGAGACTAGGATGGTTGTGGACATTGCAGCTATGACCTGGGATGATTTTAAAACTCGGTTCAATGACAAATACTTTCCACAATCAGTGAAGGAGAAGAAGGCAACTGAGTTCATGCAGCTGGAACAGAATAATGATATGTCAGTCAGTGAGTACGAGAGGAAGTTTACAGAGCTATCCCGATTCGCTCCTCACATTATTGCGAACGAGTTACACAAAGTCAGAAAGTTTGAGCGGGGGTTGATCTCTCATGTGAAGAAGTTTGTGGTGGGTCATCGTTTTGACACTTATGCCAAAGTGGTGGAATGTGCCATGGCAGTAGAGGAGAACAATAACATTGCCTTTCAGAAACAGAAGGAGCGTAGGGCAGAACAGAAAAGTAAGGGGGCTAGCAGCTCTCAACAGAATCAGAGCAACTCTCAATAGAATCAGAGGGGCCAGCAGCAACAGACTCAGAGAAACTGGCAGGGTCAGTCTTGGCAGAGAGGTAGACAAGATTGGCGAGCAGAGAAACGGCAGAGAGTGGGTGAAGGTGAACAATCCACAGCTATAGTACCAGCCATACCTAATGATGCACAGCCATATCAGTTCAGCGGGCACTGCTACAATTGTCGTGAGCAAGGATACTTGGCTCGTAATTGTCCCAAGCCTCACAAGAATAACCAGCAGAAAGGTCAGGCACCACAGCAGAAAGGAGGTGCAAGGGTTTATGCAGTTGTTCCAGATGGGAGACAGGACCATGCACCACCAGCAGTGGAAGGTACATTTACTATTTATGGCAGTATAGCTAGAATACTATTTGATTCAGGTTCTTCATATTCTTTTATTGCATTATCATTTGTGGACACACTGGGATTAGAACTTGGACATATGAGTAATGCCCTATCTATCACAACTCCACTCGGGAGCGCGACGACACTTGATAGAATATGTTGTGCTTGTCTTATTACAATTGGGGAGTTGGAGTATCCTATTGATTTGATAGTATTACGGATGAGAGACTTTGATGCTATATTGGGTATGGATTGGTTGGCTAGATATCATGCTTAGTTGGACTGCCATGAGAGGATTATTGTATTCTCAGTTCCGGGACAGTTTCCTTCTTGATATAAGTGTAAAGAGTTCGAGAGCACCATGACTATGGGATTTTTTGCACACATTGAGGTGGTTGAGCAATGCGTGACTATAGAGCAGTTACCTACAGTGTCAGAGTATATAGATGTGTTCCAAGATATTCTGGGTTTGCCTCCTAGGAGGGCAGTGGATTTCTGCATCGACCTCACTCCTGGTATTTCACCTATCTCTAGGGCACCTTACAGAATGGTGCCAGTTGAATTGAGTGAGTTGAAGAAGCAGACTCAAGAGTTGCAAGATCGGGGGTTTATTTGACCTAGCACATCACCTTGGGGAGCACCTATTCTATTTGTTAAGAAGAAGGATGGGTCACACCGCTTATGTGTTGACTACCGTGCGCTGAATAAGGTTACTATTAAGAACAAGTACCCATTGCCATGCATTGATGATCTGTTTGATTAACTCAAAGAGGCGCAGTTGTTCTCTAAGATTGACTTGAGGACTGGTTACCATCAGTTGAGGATTAGGGAGAAAGATATTCCTAAAACTGCCTTCAGGACTCGTTATGGCCTCTATGAGTTTTTAGTCATGCCTCTTGGGTTGACTAACGCTCCGGCAGCTTTTATGAATTTGATGAACCGAGTGTTTCGGCCTTACTTGGATCAGTTTGTTGTGGTATTTGTTGATGACATTCTGATATATTCCAAGACTAAGGAGGAGCATGAGAGACACTTGAGCATTACACTTTAGACTTTGTGTGAGCATCAGCTCTATGCTAAGTTTGAGAAGTGTGACTTTTGGCAGGAGCAGATTCAGTTTTTGGGGCATGTGATCTCTAAGGACGGAGTTTCAGTAGATTCTGCCAAGGTGAAGGCTGTAATGAGTTGGAAACAGCCTACTACTGTCACTGAGATTCGTAGTTTCTTGGGATTGGCAGGATACTAGAGGCGCTTCATTGAGGGTTTCTCCAAGATTTTTGCACCTTTGACCCCGTTTGACTCGGAAGGATGTGAAGTTTGTTTGGGACCACCGTTGTGAGTAGGCATTTGAGGAGCTAAAGACGAGATTAACTTCGGCACCAGTTCTTACTATTCCTATTAGTGGTGAGAGATTTATGATTTACACAGATGCATCACATCAGGGTCTTGGCTGTGTTTTGATGCAAGATGATAAGGTGGTAGCGTATGCCTCTAGGCAGCTTAAGCCACATGAGCAGAATTACCCTACACATGACTTGGAGTTGGCAGCAGTGGTTCTTGTATTGAAGGTGTGGAGGCATTATTTGTATGGCGAGGAATTTGAGTTATTCCCTGATCACAAGAGCCTCAAATACCTCTACACTCAGAAGGAGTTGAATATGAGGCAACGGAGGTGGATGGAGAAGATGAAGGATTTTGATATGACTCTTCAGTATCATCTTGGAAAGGCGAATGTGGTAGTAGATGCCTTGAGTCGGAAACCGAGAGGATTAGTTGCCTTTATGATGATTCAGGAGTGGATGATGTTAGAGGCATTGGCAGAGTTTTCTATCATGCCGAGTTCTCATAGTACAGGGGCTCTTCTTTGTAGTTTGACTGTACAACCGACTTTGATCAGCCGGATCATTTATGCTCAGAACCAAGATGACAGGTTACAGGCTAAAGCAGTTAAGGCTGCCAATGATGAGGGTGATATGGATTGGACGTGTGGAGTTGATGGTGGTATGAGATTTCGAGGTAGGCTATGTGTACCAGACTTAGCAGACCTCAAGAGAGAGATTCTAGAGGAGGCACACCACTCTAGGTACACAGTGCACCCAGGTGGCACTAAGATGTATCATGATCTTAAGAGGCAGTTCTGGTGGGAAGGCATGAAACGTGATGTGGCAGAGTTTGTATCTAGATGTCTCACTTGTCAGCGAGTAAAAGCTGAGCACCAGAGACCAGCAGGACTATTACAGCCTTTGCCTGTGCCTGAGTGGAAATGGGAGCATGTGACGATGGATTTTGTTGTGGGGTTACCGAGGTCGACACATAACCATGATACAGTATGGGTGATAGTGGACCGATTGACTAAGTCAGCTCATTTTCTACCCATCTGAGCTACTGATACTGTAAAGGAATTGTGTAAGATTTACATCAGAGACATAGTTAAGCTCCATGGAGTGCCAGTGTCTATTGTTTCAGATCGTGATCCTCATTTTTCATCTCGGTTGTGGAGTAGTTTTCATGCAGCCTTTGGCACTCCTTTGAGTTTGAGCACTGCTTTTCATCCTCAGACTGATGGCCAGTCCGAGAGGGTCATTCAGGTGTTGGAGGATATGCTTCGTGCTTGTGCACTAGATTTTCGGGGCAGTTGGGAGGATCATATTCCACTGGTTGAGTTCGCTTATAATAATAGATATCAGGCTAGTATTGGCATGGCACCGTATGAGGCACTTTATGGTAGACCTTGTCGTTCACCTGTATGTTGGGCTGAGGTTGGTGATGGTAGTTTTCTGGGGCCAGAGTTGGTACAAGAGACTACGGAGAAGGTTGTCATCATTCGAGATCGACTTCGCATAGCTCAGAGTCGACAGAAGAGCTATGCAGATCGACGCCGTCGTGCTTTGGAGTTTAGTATGGGTGACTTGGTATTTTTGAAAGTATCACCAATGAAGAGGGTTGCGAGATTTGGTAGGAAGAAAGGGAAGCTAGCTCCTCGATTTATTGGACCTTTTGAGATTACAGAAAGGATTGGGAAAGTGGCATATAGATTGGCCTTACCACCCAGACTGTCTGCTATTCATGATGTTTTCCATGTCTCTATGTTAAGGAGGTGCTTGAGGGATCAAACTCAGGCAGTTGACTGCACAGAAGTTCAGTTGCGTCCTAATGCAACCTATGTTGAGACTCCTGTTCGCATCGTTTACAGTATGGTGAAACAGTTGAGGCGGACAGAGATACCTCTAGTGAAGGTGCAGTGGAATCATCAGGACGAGAGAGAGGCTACCTGGGAGCTAGAGTCATAAATGAAGGAAAAATATCCACATCTATGCGAATAAGGTACACAAATTTCGAGGACGAAATTTCTTTCTGGGAGGATAGAATGTAATATCTTTAAAAATAATAATAATAATAAAAATATATATATAAAAAAATAATAATAAAAAATAATATATGTACGTATGTTTTTTTTTTTTTTTTTTTTTTTGGGAACGGATTATGGATGTGTTAACCTATTATTTTAAAATTTTAAAAAGAGTTTTATTTGACTTAAAACTCTAAAGATAATTTCTATATTAGAGTTTGTATTGTTTTAGGTGAGGAAAAATGAAAAGAAAACACCGTCTTTCTCAAAACGTACCTTAAACTCTTATCCCGTTAATTCCTGGGTACCGATAACTAAAGCATAGTCAACCTTCTGCAGTGGCTGGAAGGAGAGGTGATTAAAAGTCATATACGTGAAGAAGGAGTAGCGTTATCTTTTTGAGGCAAGTTAATCTTGCCTTATAATTTTATATATACGACTAACTTGCTTATTAAAGTTTTAATATTAAATTTTGAATTCTGTGTTCTATAGTATATAGATCATCTTGTTAATATTAGGTACTTGTTGAAGATAGTTGTACATTATTTGTTTATATATAATGATATTATATTTACATACACACTTATAATTGTTAATTGAGCAATTCAAAGGATCTGTGTTAAATAGTATCATTTGGGTAAGAATTGTATGCTATCTTGATGTAAGTCTTTATTCTGTAAATTGTGTGAATAGTCATTAATGAGTAGATATATATATATATATATATATATATATATATATATATATATATATATATATCTTCATACATATATATAATACACTGTTATATATATATATATATTTTTTTAGAAACTTAACTGGCATATAAATTTAGTTACATATATATTGATGTATGAATTCCTAATGTAGACTCGTTCATTATTTAGTCTTTTGTATAAATTTCTAATGTGGAATTATGAATTTATGATGTTGAGTATCAATTAAGTATAGATTAAATGTGTAATTGAATTATCTATATAAATGCAATAAATTGGATATTTACTTACATGATATTACTTATTAAGTCTGTTTATAAGCATGGAAATTATAGTGTTGGGTCTCTGGGCATTCTGTATACGGGTGTATATCTGTAAGTATATATAGTTGATTATCAGTGTTGGACTTTAAGACATCTAAAGTATATAAAGTTGGCTTCATGGTTATCAGTTAAACAATATATCTATATTAAGGAATGACACTGGGCTGAGCTTTGATTACATGTGACTATAAAAATTATATTTAATTATTTAACTTTCTCTAGCATTGAAATGACATTACTGTTTCAGTGGGTAATTTCCTAAAAGTTTAATTGTAATTCTCATAATTGGGTAATTAAAGGTGCATTTTTATGCATTAATTATTATTAATTAATAATATATTTTTTTATAATTCACCATAATTAATAATTAATGGATGAGTTGGTTAGTCGGAGGGGTAGTCAGGGACTAACCCTATGATGACTTTTGGGTATGGTCAGGGACTTACCGATTTGGGAGTGCACTACTATTTATTATGGCCATGGGTCTAATGAGCCCTTATTGTGTGGACGTAATCAGGGATCATCTGGGGAGTAGACGTACAATCCAGCCACACGTGTGTTTTCGGTAGTCAGGGACTATACGATTCACACCACTTTATTGGACGAGAGCCCGGGGCTCATATAAGTTATGTAGATTTAATAAAAGTAAATGATGTTGTTGAGTTTATAATTAATTGGAGATTATAAAATTCTTTAGTAACACACTTAACTGAGTTGATTTTATATATGGGAATATAACGTATGGTTAACTTGCTGAACGATGATTGTGTTTAGCATTTCTTGCTGAGCTTGTGAGCTCACCCCATTATCAAATTTCAGGTGCTCGTAGAGTAAGAACGTGATGGTGACACGCGACGGGGACGGATTATAGCTCGTTGCGCATTGATTTATTTTAGCTTGGTTTTCCTTTATTATGATTATTGTAATAAAGTTAATGTTTTATGAAACTTTATCGAGTTGATTCAGTGGTCATAGATATTCTGTTATATTAGAGGGAATTTCACCTCTATTTATGGATTTGTATAAGATTCGTCAGACTCTTATGGTTATTAAATTGAATGATGGGATTCATCGTAGTTCTTTTATGAAGGACAAGTAGTTCTTGTGTTAAAATTTGGGGTGTGACAAAAACAAAGATTACAACTCGATCGGGCACATCTTGACACTAAAATTTGGCAATTACAAAATTAATATCTCACAAAGTTAAGGCATACAGTGTCCATTTGCATGAAATAAGAATTTATTTGATTATTTCTAACCATTTTTTATTTACTTTATTATTTGTTAAATTTGTTTTATTGTCTTTACAAATATATGATGTATAAGAAAATAAATAATGTTTAAGCCGAATTTTTAGCCCATACAACGTATTATACATGTATGTATTCATATTTATATTTTTACGTTTCTATTTTATTTGGCTTAATTTTTGTAACATATATTTTTTAAAAATATAGAATTATAGTCGTATGATCCCAAATATGTATTTTTTCGTACCATATTTAACTAACTATGATTAGTTTTGGGATAAATTACACTGACCTCCCTTAAAGTTGGGACAAATTACACACAGGTAGAGCCTTTGACCTTTATTACTTTAACCTCCCTTAAAATTTGGCGCGTATGTTCAATGACACCCCATGCCATTAATGAAAATTTTAAAAATAACTAAATTGCTCTTTTCTTGTGTTAAAAGATTTCATTAATCTTATATTTTAACATCAAATGACAAAAATACCTTGAAATGCCATTGAAATGCAAATTATTATTTTTCATACTAATTTCATACTATTATATTATATTATATTATATTATATATATATATATATATATATATATATATATAGTTGTCTTTTTGTTTGACAAATTTTTTATATTAAATTAGATAAGGGTATAAAAGAGATTTTATATTTTTAGAGTATGTCAAAATAATTAATTTGCCCAAATATAATTTACCCTTAGTTTTGTTTTCACCCAAAACCACATGGCTTGTGTATAGAACACCACTGATTATATGGGTTTGTTGGGCTAGGCCCATCTTGCTTTCTATATACCAGGGGTCAATGGCCCATGGTACAAACAAGAAGAGTAGTAATAACAGGTAGTGATTGGTTAAAAAATAATCGTAACACTTGGGTGGATTCTTATGGTTAATTTTCTACCAATCATAATAAATATATATTTTTAATTTTATTTCATAGATATGGCAGTTGGTTGAAAATCAATCATAAGAGTCCTTCAAATGTTGTGATTGGTTTAGACAACATCAATCGCGGCTAAATTCTCTAGAGAAATCTCTAAACAACATGGGAAAATTAGAGGTATTAATTGGTATAATTTTATTTTATTTTATTATTATTATTTTTTCCTTCAAATTTCTGCAATTTTTGCACCCGAAGATATCCTAGAAATCTTTATTCAAAAGTCTACTCATGAATGGGTGTTCAAAGAGAATTAAAATTCTTACAAATTATAATTTTAAATTTCGCTATTTTTATGAGCCCAAATCAAACAGTTGGAAAATCTGTATTAATAATAAATAAATAAACAAATATACAATGAAATGCACATGAGAGAAACCTTGTAAATGTCACTAACATGGCCCCAATGAGACAATCATTTGACCATTAAATTGTTGAGTTGCCTAATAGATTCAATATAATCAAACTCATATGGTGATTGTTGATTAACCACAAACCATATCTAAGTCTATCCTTGTGACATTTCTTCTTGAAATCAAACACTTCTAAATTTTGAAAAGCATTGGAGATAAAACGATAGATATAATTATATGTAACATGATTGGATAACAATACATTCCAATTCAAAACGAGTTTGTTAAATGTTAAATGATTAGTTTCCCTCCTCTCACACACTATTTATCTCCTTTACGGCAACACCATTAGTTTCAACTAGTCCTCTGACATTGTTCTGTAACTCAAAAAAAAAAAAAAAAAATGGCAAACTTGTGGTTTGTGACATTCATTTTGGCTACATGGGCTGTGGGGGCGGTGAACAGTACTTCACGGCACCAGCTCGGTGAACCGGCAATGTCACCGGAGCTGGAGGAGGCGGTGGCGCCGACACCCGTGATCGACTGCTCCAGCCTGATATACAACATGGCAGACTGTCTCTCATTTCTGAGCGACGGCAGTGACGAAACGACGCCGGACAATACTTGTTGTTCTGGTTTCAAGTTGGTGATGGACACCGATGCAGATTGTATATGTGAAGCTCTAAGGAGTAGTTCTGACTTGGGTATTGAAATCAACATGACACAGGTCATGACTTTGCCCTCTGCCTGTGCATTCTCGGCTCCTTTCCTTAGTAGCTGCATTGGTGAGTCACTTTTATAATCTCTCTCTATATGTATATACGTCAGGTCAGGGTTAGATGTACACCGTCTTCAGAGAATCTGTTTCCAATTTGGCACATGTCACAATGGAACCTGTTTCCAATTTCGTTTTATTTTTTATATAATTATTTTTACCAACTTTATTTGATGAATATATATATATATATATATATATATATATATATATATATATATATATATATTTTCTTCATGCAGTGTCCATGGCCCCCAGCTCTCCTCCTGATGCTACTCCTGGTTTGTTGTTTTTATGGTTATTTTTCTTGGTTGATGGATATCCTATATTTTGTATTATTATTTTTGTTGTTGATTTTGAAATTGATAGAAGTCCATTTAATTGTCACATGGAAGTCATCATTCTTTTATCATCATCTTCCTGCAGTTAATCCTCCACCAAAGAATATTGCTCCCCCACCGGAATATCAAAATCCTGCACCTCCGGAAGCACAGAATCCTCCACCTCCACCTCCACCTCCGGAAGCTGAGAGTCCTCCACCAGCTAGTGCTCCACCACCGGAGGCCCAAAATCCTCCACCTCCCGACTCTGAAAATCCACCTGCACAAGTGCCATCAACATCCACTTCTCCGGCAGCAAAGTCTCCTGCACCTTCCCCGGCGAGCTCAGCAGGATCATCTTATACCACACACATTTCCTTTCCGGTCCTTTTTAGTATGGTTGTTGCTTGCCTACTCTATATCTTAGTATAAGCTATGAATCACATGTATTTATGGTTTCTCTACCTACTTTAATCTCCCCTAATTTGGTAATGTTTTATTTTGTTGGCAATGCTTTTTAGGTTCTGTTTGTTTTGTTTTTTTGTTTTTAAAATTCAAACCAATCAAAGTAGTACAAGAAGGTTTGTCTAATTTGACTGAAAAACTTAAATTCTCTTGGTATAACTAAGAATACATCTATTTTGATGGGTTTTATTATCGTATTAGTGTTTAAGTAGTTTAAGACGCGTAGAATATCATGTAATCAGGATAATCAAAGTAAAATATTATGAGCCCAAAGCAAGCACAATTGTAGAAATAACCCTCCGTTGGTTTATAAATTTTCAAACATTAGAATTTGTTTTTAGAATCATGACAAGGGCAAGTCAAGGCTCGACCATTTTTGAGATCCGTCTTATATAAAAAATTTATAGTTCTTTAAAAATAATTTGAAGAAAAAATATATTTTATTGTAAATTTTATTGTAATCGGGCACAAACAACAACTTATGTAGGATTACGAGGTTAAGATGACAAGTAGAAGAAACTCATGACTTGTTTGGTTTGTAATTTGAAACCGTTCTTAATAATAACTTAAGACTTGGTTGGATTGTTGAGTTTTCAAAAAATTAAATCAAGCAAAATTTTCTATTCTAATAAAACTCTTCTCAGAATTACAAAGCAAGTAAGATCTTATTTTTTTGCATAATAGGTTTACAAAATTATTGTCCAGACATTTTTTTTAAAAAAAAAATCTTTTTGTCTTTTTAGTTATCTAAAATCAACTATGCCAACTAAAAGATCACTACTTCTACCAATAATAAAGAGAGAATTTCAATAACAGAATCATCAAATGACAAGTAGAAGAAACCAAACATGATAAAAAAAAAAAAAATTCCCCCCTCCCTTTCTTTCAATAACCACGCTAAGAAAGATGAGACAAAACAAAATTCAGAATAGCAACTAGATTTGATATTCAAATCCGCACCACAACAACTCTTCTTTTTGGTAGGTAAAATATACACACACACTGACAAAATGTCATCTTCTGAAAATCTCAAACTCTTAGAGACCTCCAATTTCAACTCCCATTTCTCGATACTCATCCAACTGATAACCCGAATCGCTTCAAGAAACGTCTTAGACTTCCTGTCAAAGCCCATCTCATCAACCCTCTTCACATATTCTCTAATTCTGGTCGGTTTACGAAAGAAAAATGTTGCATATCGACTTATTTGCGACGAACTAATGCCACAGCTCTTCAAAAATTCAATATTGGGAATCATAGTTTTCGCCCAATCAAGACTCAGAATACGCCCAGATCTCTTTAAAAACGTAGACATATCCACATTCGAAACCAAAACACTCTTCAATGCTAAAATCGATGGGCCAAGCTGACTATCAACGCTACGAGTTAGAATCCGAGGGTCAGACGAAACAATTTGCACAATATCGCTAGAAGAAATACCCACGTCTTGAAAAAACTTGAATTTGGGTTTGATGGAAAGCTCAAGATTTGCAGAGAGAAGTTGAGGCGCGGATTTGATGACACGCTCGAGATGGGTATCCGCAAAACCACTTTCCTGAAGAAATGAAAGAATTGAATCGGTCTCTTCAGGCCTTTTCAGATACTTTACGACGGAAGAGATTTTCAAAGCAGTTTCAGGAGAAAATATGTGTCTATCAATCAAGTAATCCGACACTGCACTGGGGCTTTTTGGAGAGGAAGAGAAGAAGTTGAGAGAGATAAGAGAGATTGGGGTTTTGTTGAGATGTGAAGAATTCTTGAGAGAGAGAGATGAGACTTTTGCAGATATACACAGTCCTCATTTCTTGAAGAAACACAGTGATGTATCATAATATGCTTTCAATCACAACAAAGAGTAGAGATCGGTACTTGCCTGAAAAGTGGGGATCTTCATTGATTCGATTTTCTCTCTCTATCAGTCTCTCTCCGCCTCCGGTTATCTGAAAGTGTTTGAATGATGAACACTGTGTGCCCTAACCCTAATCTTAGGTTCTTCACCTCAAACCCGAATCTACATTGGTATAAAAATGTTCTAGCCCAAGAATTTGGTGGGCTCTACATCGGCCCAAAGTTGAAAAATTACAGCAAAAATTAAAAACAGTTATCCCGGAATTTCATATTTGCCAGAAATTTCCAATGTGCTACAGCGGGTCTCTATGACCCCAGGGCACTCCTCCTTGTGTTGCTCTTGGTCTGATTTTGATTATGCAATAAATTTTATGATGCTTCATATAGTTAATATTTACATCAGCATATGAGCAATTAATCACTGACCTTTAATCCCCTTGGCATCTATAGAACAAACTCGTGTGATCAATGGCCAATCAAGTTAAAATCGAGTGGTTGAGGGCTCATTACATTGTTTTATCTATTTTTTTTTTTATATATATAACTTTAATAATTAGATAAGTACCACTCTCTAAATGCCAGTGAGACATGATGCCAATAGAGTTTGCTAATCTAATCTCTTCATTAATACGGCGTATTTAACTGAAAATCTAATATGATAAACGATTTTCATATCATCACAAGTAGGGGTGACAAAATGACTTACAACCAGTCACTTGTTTATATCTATCTACTTTCTAATAATTTTAAGTGAATCATATTTAAAATGGATAAAACAAAAAAAATAAAATATAAGTACTCATATTCCACCCATCATATAATAGACATAATTATTCTATAGTGTTTTAACCCCATTTCTCTCTCTTAAATTTTCTCTCACCCACGCTACTCTCTCTAAATATCTCTCTCATCAATCCCCTCTCTCACTCTGAGTTTCCCTCTCTCAAATATTTCACTCATCAATCACCCTCCAATCAACCATCATAAAATGGACGGAGCCAATTATATTTTCTTGTAACTCTTAAGCAATCCAAGATTCTTGAAAGATCGGACGACTGTGATCGCTTGATCATAAAACCAACAAAGGAGATGATCGGTCATGATTAAAAGTGAAAATTCCAATCTTCTCGCGCGCGCACGACTCAAACCCGAGACCTCTTGTGCAAAATGGAGAACCCGTTTTCAATTCGTCGTTTTATTTTTTATATAAATTATTATAATCAACTTTCTTGATGAATAATATGTTAGTAAAATATATGTTTCAAATGACATTCAAGATATAACTAACCTTATACTAATATGCCACTCGATATTTAATTAAACATGCAAATTAAAGCAGTAAAATAATAATAATAAATAAAGAACCTGGACCGAGGCTAGTATTGGATGCTATGTCCTTAAGACAGATTTACCCCGCTATGGTGCTAACGGACTTAGTGACGTCTATCCCCCAAGATACAACGGTTTACATCCACCAGTAGCAGCACTACAAACTCGTGGATACGGTGAACCTCCTCTGTGTAATACTCTATTTGACTCAAAAATGTATCTATACTATATAAATAATGAATTGGGTGCAATCTGAACCAAATGGCTCGGACCAAATTTAAAATGACTCAATGAAATTGGTTTTGGGCCTAAGTGGCTCAGACTACTTGACCATGGCTTGAACCCACATCCACTTGGGTTGGGTTCATCTTGAGAGAGGGAGAGAATACTATATTGTGCACCTTAAATGGCCACCAATAGTGGGTATTTATAGATAAGGTCGGTGTCTCTTCGTTAACAGGCACAACCACTTCCAATGGGTTGCAATGGTTAGTTATAGACAAAGTGGTGTCCCATCGTTATTAGATGTGTCTGTTCATTTGAGATGCCATGGTTTAGAGTAGTTGCATCTGTTGATTATAACCACTCCTAAAACATCACCTTACCCGAATCGACACAACCTTTCACACCAGAATATTTTTGTTGCAACCAACATACAGTTAACATTCACATGTTGTAGTCTAATGTGATATACATGGATATATTACAGGCAAGTTACATTCACACACCTTTCTAATAATCCCCTACATGAATGGAAATTGGCTGCTTAAATGCAAATGATAATGCAGACCCTAGAGAGAGTATAATCGGAAAGTTACTGCATCAGGATAGGTAACTTTTGGCCTTGAACCTTCCCTAGTGTATTACTATCGGATTTACTGGCTAACCAGTGAACGTGATGTCTTGAACTATTCAGCTGTTTGTGTAAACCAAGACAATAACAAACACACAGTACCCTTCCTCACAGAGTTAGTTCTCATTGTTGTGTTCATTTTGGCCCTGAACAACTCCTAGCATTCATGAGTGCTCTAGAAAACTTAGCCTTTATAGTTCTCATAAAGCGGCCCCACTTCATAATCATATAGGTGACTTCTTATTAAGAGTATCCTACCATACTCCACTTTGAATTTTCAAGAAATAAGAGTCATTAAAAGCGTAGCTTATTCTAATCCTCGCTGTAGGTAGCATTGTCTCATCATAGAAATGGGTAGAAGATTTATATCTTCCCAGTGCTTCTAATGAGTCACTCAGAATTTCTATTATCCCTTTGAACCTAAATCTTGGGATCTCCAGTCAGCTAGGTTGGGTTTCCATTAAGATGACTCGTTAGCTTTCGGCTTTAATCCCATTTCCCTCGATGATCTGTACAATTGCTCTCTAGTACAACCCTTAATTTTATATGTGGCCACATGGTTATATATAGAAATCTTATACTCTGCAGAGATTTCCCCAATTGAGAGCACATGGATACTTTGTACCCTAAAATTGTTTATTATTAGCAATATCATTTTCTTTAGTGGCACAGGTATAGACTTACTTTGAAAAGTCCTCTAAGTAAAATCTATTGATTTATTCAAAGTTTCTAACTTTGAGTTATGTTAAGAAAATACAACTATGCCTTTAATATTGACATATCCACTCTTGGATTTGAAGTCTTTAATATACCGCATCCAAATTACATCACTGTTACACCTCTAATTTAGCTAGATACCTCGATTTATGCAATATTTGACTTAGGGTGTATCTCAACTACTCAATTTCTTTTTTTTTTTCTTTTTTTTTTTTTCCTTCTTTATGATCCTATCCTGGATTGAAAGTATGCAATTAAACACAGTTATTAAGATGTCTTACAATCTCAACCAATGATATACTTTGACTAGTATTTATATTTGAGATTTTCTTATACAAAAGTTAGCTAGGCTTTTGTTATCATAACTAGTATTATCTCAATCTCACTGTACTGAGAATATATTATGTTATCAAATATTAAATCTTTCAAATCAAGTATATCATTAATTTTTTAAGGCATACAATGACTTATGCATCACATTTATTTCAGTGTCTCGGTAGTAATTTTAATCCACTTGAGGACTTATTAGCTTACACACTTGACTTTTCAATTGGAACAAATAATCCAATTTTTCAGTTGGAAAAAGAACTCTTCTAGTTGTTCCATAATATTTTTCTCGTAGGAAACAACATGCACTATTGTTATAATACTATAAATGATTTTTTGTTCTATCCTAAAACGCTTAGGACTCAGAACCCCCCACATTTATAGGTATTTCTCTTAAGATGAGGTGACTTATAGCAAATTTCATTTATGGATAATATCTCTGTAAAGTTTTCTATTTTTCCCTTTTACCATTTTCTGGAATTTTTCTGATTTTTAAGGATATCTTCTTCTTTTTTTGTTTTGCGTATTGGACACCGTGGGGTGTGCTGGGTGTGTCAGAGTGTTGATTTGGACATTTCTTTGAGTTCAAAACTCTTGGAAATGTATTGGTTATTATTTCGGTATTTTTCTGTTTTTCGGACCGGAATGTACTGGGTGGGACCCGCACTGGAATTGTTGTGTACGGGAGTTGTGTCATAGGTCCATTGCATTTCATGCAGTATTATTTTTGTACAATTTCATGGTGGTGTATTAAATTGTATGGTTGGAATTTAAATTATATATATACAAACTTATGCTTAATAAAAGAAAAGGTGAGATTTTTGTGGTTAGTGGAGGGACCCACCATTATACCTACTGTCTTTTAATGGCCACAAGGCCATTTGTAGCCTCATTTTCCACTCACTCTCTCGGGCAAGCTCTCTCTCCCTATTTTCATTTTCTTTATTCTTTCACAATCTTCAAGCTTTGATTCCTCTTCACCCATTTGAATTTGATAATACCACTTAAAGCAAAGTTGGAAAGCTCGTTAAGGCCGTCGTTTTGATTAGAGCCAATCACCATTTGACCGCCCTTAGAGATTTCAAATTTAGGGTTTGGAATTGGGGCTTTTTGCATCATTTGAGGTATGGTTGCTCTAATTCACAATTTCTTAGGTTTTATGTGAATTTTCCTTCTTAATTTGATTATAAGCATGTTTAATTTCGATTATTTTGACTATGTGGTTGTGGTTGCTTATATGTAAAGTGGTGGATGTATACTATGTGTTAAATGAGTTTGTAAACTTAGTTACATTCTTGTAGTGAGGAAGCATGCTTAGAAATGACAGGTTATACACTTTATGAATTTCAATTGCCATGAAAATTTGATGTCATAATTGTAGAAATAAATGTTTTAAATTTTTCTTTATAATGTGTGATTATGATATGGGTGAAATGTATTGAATTTAGTTGTTGAATTTGGCATTTGGAATCATGAAGCACTCATGCATTCATAGGAAAAGATAAAGGGGAAATATGTTTTCAAAACAAATGAAATTATTTTGGGGAAACATTTTTTGAAAGTGTTTGCGAAAACTGGACGCCTAGAAGGTGCCTAGTTGTTCGTGGTGTTAGTGTGGTCTAGAGGGGACTAGGAAGAGACCCTAGCGTGGTTGAGTTAACTAGGTCGGATACGAAGCCTTGGAGTTGCCTTGTGGTCATGG